AACTTTATTCGTTTTTACACAAGCTTTAGAAAGTATTCAGCCCCTTAGATGTTTTCTACACCCTCGTAGTGTCATGGATTTAATTTAAATGGACATATTGGCGATTTTTAAAAATATTTTCTTTCTAAAAACCAAAGCCTGGAATCTCTCATAAAGCTTTGTAAGTCCATATGTGTTAGATTGGACTAATTGTACAAAGTTAAGGCACACAACTATATATAACGTCTCAGAATTCAAGACAAAAACCAAACCATGATGCCTATGTTCTCAGTGAATAAAGCCAAATATAGAGAGACAAGAGAATGACCTGAATGGACATTCATGGATTCTCTGGCTGTCTTTGAGTAGCTTATAGCCAGAGCCCAGACTTAAACCCACAACATCTGTTGAGAGACCTGTAGATGTCAGCATCCAATCTGGAGCTTGAGAAGATGTGTTGGAAAGAATGTAATTAACTACTTCATGTGTGCTGTGATTGTAGAGTACTTACCCAGGAACACTCAAAATCTGGAATTGTTGCCGAAAGGGCCTTGATCAGAGGTCTTCATGGTATGTTTATATTTATATAGAGCTTCTCTACTCTTGATGACCACTCATAGCATTTTACAGTACAGTTTTCCATTCACCCCTTCACACACATTCATAAAGGGCGTTTATTAGCAGCACTTTTTTGTTCTATGATGGGCAATTCAGGGTTCAGCATCTATTGCCCAAGGACGGGGAAGATGGGGAAGACTGGGAATTGAACTGCTGACCTTCTGGTTGGAGGATGACCGCTCTACGCCACAGCCACAGGCACCCTTCACTCTGCATGGGACCAAAAATCCATCCCTGAAGTCTAAAAGACCCAGAAGTGTACTACTCAGAACCTATTATTTGAAAACTGGGACCCAGAATGCAGAACCAAGAAATTCTGAACCAAGCCCATAATGTTAAACAGAGGCAGCACCCGCTTAAATGAAATGGGAAACCAATCACATCTGATGGGCTCCAAAAAACCTTGATTTCACTTCAAAACAACTTTATTTGTCCCCAGAGGGCAATTCAAACAATAATCTGAGAGGTCCCAGGACAGATCACCGTTCATTGGCTAAAACTGTGAAAACCTATATCTTCTTCAAAGTCCTGAACTATCTGAACAAGTCTAGATAAAAAATAAAATAAAGAGATTTGAGTTTAGGATTTTTTAATGAAGTTGCGAACATTTCTGATAACATGTTTTCACTTTGACTGTAGACTGGCAGATAAAATCAAATGTCCAGACAGCAAAACTGAAAATATTAAGTAACATGAAGAACTTACAGCTGCAGATACTCTTTTCGGAGCCACTATCAGAGGATGCTGGATAACATGTTAGATCAGACAAGTAGGCCTGTTTCCCTTTCAGAGGTGAGACCTCTGACGTTTTAAACTCAATACTGTTGAAAATCCAAAAAATAGAATTTGTATCTTCTTAATGAAGTGGTGTTGGGTTAGAGAGAGGTTACATATAAAGGAATCTATGACAACCCTGACAAGTGAAATATTGTATCTCAATGGGTTTGAATGTGTTTCCTGGTCAGTCCACAATAAAAGCAGGCCTTGTTCTCAATAACACCAAATGCTTTTGACCATCAAACCCAAGACCAGAAGTGTGTCCACTGCCTCCCGGTTCCTCTCCTCTGGATCTATAAATGAATAGCAGCCATCAATCACTGTCAGGGCAGTCCTTCCCCTGCCCAGACGGACGGGGTGACTAATGTCACTGCATGTTACTGTCCAGCCCTCCCGCCTCTTCTCCCGCTCACTCACATCAAACAGACCTGACAAGCCACCAGCCACAGACCAAAGGGGCACCACAATGTCACCTTTTTAGATTTTTGGGGGGAGGGTGGAACTTGTTGAGGGGACACAATCAGCTCCCAGCATCCCGTTCTTTGTTTTGTTTGTTGATTGACAGCTGGGGTGCCTTTACTGGGCAGTGAAGAGGACGTTGGCTGACAAATCTCTTGACTGTTGTATAGCTTGGTAATACCTCACTCACATGTGTCCCAAATTTGTTCTTGGTGATGGGACAGACCACACAGTCCACACTATCTGTTCTAGAGCAATGATAAATATAATCTAATATGAGCATTGGAATTAGCAAATCTTGTGCTGTGTAATATTTTTCGAGTGAAATAGCAAAACCACAGCAAAAGAACATATAGCCTACACCTCCATAAATGCCACATTGTTAAAACCCCCAACCCAGAACACAATCCATCATAATCCATCTCCACAGGCATAACACACACACACATATATATATGAAACATAACTTTGGCATTGACTGTTCCCCAAACACAATGTGATGCAGGGATTCAACACAGCATGAACCAAGCAAAACAATGTTTAAACAGGAACTGAAGTCTACATTCATTTGACATAGGAAACAACTCAAGACCTTCTGTCAACATTTTAAAGAAAAGCCTGAATCTAAGGTTGTGATATAATGGACTTTAAATTTTTTAAATCTCTAAAGCGTTAATCTATTTCACAGTGACAACATGTCATATACATACTGAATGTTTTGGAGCCATTTTGTGCACTCCCAGCACTAACGTACAGCTCTGTTCTGAGCTGTGTCATGTTTTATTTGTTTACAATAATAATATGAAAATAGTAAGAAAATCTAATATGCTCAATAGAGTATTGGTTGAAAACTTTGTCTTCATCCTACCTGGTTTATCTGCAGTGAAGATGTTGTAGTCAATGTGTGAAGGAGTGGAGGATCTGTGTGTTGAGGTAGTCCAGGGTGGTGTCAGGGCCAGTGAGTATTTAACAGGCTGATGGCTGTTGGATAGAAGCTGTTCCTCAGTCTGGATGCCCTGCATTTCACACTTCTTTACCTTCTGCCCTTTGGCAGAGGTGTGAACAGTCCTCATTAGGGGTGGGTGGAGTCATTAATAATGGAGCACACATTCCACATGCAGACAGACAGATGTTTGTGGAATTACTAGGTAGATACTAATTACTCATATATGTGTGTTGTATCAAAAAACGGTGTCTTTAAATAAGCCTTTGCTCTTCTTTTCCAAAACAGAAAGAACAATAATGTTCACAGTATATCATATAGGATTTGCAGTCATAAACCCCAAATCCAAGAAAATAGAAATAGAGCTTCGTCACTCCTCCTTATAGATGTGGCAGCCAGCAATATGGTTAAAAAAGAAGGCTCTCTCCCTTTGAACCTTGATGTAAACATAACACATGAACAAGAACCCAAGGGGTAATATTCCATCACATTTTATGTCAAGATAAACATGAATGGTTGAATGCCAGACTGCTATGTCCTTGGCCCATTCCCAGCCTCCAGAGATTTTCAGAATAGCAAATAATTAGGGGCCAACCCAGGGGGTTGGGGCCACCTAGAGTGTATTAACTGGTTATAGAAATGGGAAGGGTTGATAGGAGTAGTGTGATGAGTGAAGTAATGCAGTTCAGGCTCTCAATTTTAGAAATTGCCTGCTTAAGGTCTGGCTTAATACCTCCAATTTCTAAAAAAAATCCATTATATTGGCTAATCAAATTGTTAGCCACAAGATTACCACTGGATTTTAATGAGGTGGGAAATTAACTTTCTAAAACTTTGGTTTGTCTCCTTTTTTAAAAGTTGTCACAACAGTAACCAATCAGTGTTGAAGAATTTCCCATACCAAAGACTTGTTGTGTCACCTGTTAGCATAGAAACAAGGGAATGCAGTTTCTTGTGTCACAAATCAGATACTTCCTGACACGTGGTGCAAGTGATGTTGTGCAAGGTATTGTTGTAATATATCAATAAAGAGTGTAAATGACAATCAAAATCAAAATATCCTTTCTCTGCTGCCATTTTCATGTGCTTGCCAATATGCTGGAGGTCCTTCACCTTCCACTTCATTGGCAAGATGGCTACTGTTGAGAGTGAGTCCTGAAGATGGTGCTTAGTGCAATACACGTTGAAGACACCAACCAAGATTTTAAGAGAGCTTGTGGTGAAAGGAGCTGACTCTGGTGATGATGTGCTGTAAACAATAACAGTTTATACCTAATGTTCTATCTCTGCTGCACCCCCCCCCCCTCACCTGAATCCTGAGGAGAATTTGTTGCTGTTGTGAACACGTCTGTGCAGAGAACCTCCCATTGTGTTGTGCATGTCTGAAAGTTAAATTGTGGAGAAAGTCCTGACCAAATTCTTCGGAGATCTCCAGGACGTGTCTGAAAACGGCTTAATAGTGCAGTACCTATTGCCTTACACTTATCAACGTGAACTCACTTATGCACTCAAAATAGTGTGAGTATGGAAGTACACAAACTGAGAGCAAGCCTATGTCAATTGGTCAGACTAGACTAGTCGCTTTTGTGGACTTGCACATTGTCCCCACCAGTCATGAATTTAAGCAGCATGTCTGTAGTGCAGTAGCTTCAACTTCACTGGATGTGCAGTGATTTATGAATCACAACAGTTTTGGCAGTGCTCACCCAAGTGCAAAACCAGTATACACATGTCAAGTCAGAGAAAAATTGACTGAAACCTAAAGCACCCAGAGCTGTGCAGATTAAAACTGAAGTGTAGGGAGATGAATGCATGAATATGCATGGCACAAAATTACCCCCAGACCTTAGAACTAACCTTGAACCTCTTAATCCCCCTCACCTCTGAAAAGGTGTCTGGAAATTCACCTTTTCTATACCTGGCAACTTGCATGATGAAGTCATTTGCACAGGACCACCATTTTGTGATTCCATTATCTCTCAGGGTGAGATTGCTTTAGATTAAAATGAGAATTTCAATAGGAATAGTATATAATGGATAGGATTATAGAACACACACACCCATATATATATATGTATATAGTGTATATACATGTGTGTGTGTTAATTTATTGTCATAAGGTGACCTTTATTATCAACTTTCAACCAGGCTGTAACATTTGACTTCTGCATTTCTCTTTGTCTCTGTCTTTGTCCTCATCCGATGGCTAAATTGGTGTGTATAGATGCTGATCGAGCTCAGAAGCATGGTATGGATGAGTTTATTTCAGCCAACCCATGTAACTTCGACCATGCCTCGCTCTTTGAACTGGTGCAGCGCCTCACTCTGGACCACAGGCTCAACGACTCCTACTCCTGCTTGGTAAGAACTCGTTTTTTACTCGTGAACTCATTAGTACACACAGAAGTAATGAAAGAATGAAAACAATATTGTAAGATTGCACTATTTAATTTTTTTTTATTTTATTTGTATAGCAATTATCTAAACAAGGCTACAAAGTGCCTCACATAAAAGTCCATGGCAAAAATGAAGAATCAATTATAATTAAAGATATTCTGATCAGTCCAATTTAAGAGCCAAGTCATAACATGATAAGGTCAAGACCTGACCAGACTCAGTGTGGCCTTCTGCCTCGACCGGTTGGGGTGAGTGGAGAAAAATAGGAAAGAGAGGAGAGGTGGGTGGAAAAGAAGGAGCAGAAAAAGAGAGATAGGAGGGGGAGAGATCAGGGACATCACATTTGAACTCTGTAAGACTGATCAAAAGTCACATATTAGAAATGCTTTCCTGTAAAAAAAAGTTTTGAGCAGTGATTTAAAGATCGGTATTGAGTTTGCGAGCCCAATCTCATCCGGCAGAGCCTCAGGCCCTGACAGAAAATGCCCGATCACCTTGAGTAGCCAGCCTTGACTTAGGGACAGCCAAACGGGACAGGCTGACTGATCTCAGGATTATAGGGAGTCAAGAAACGCAAAATATATGTGGGGGCCTGCCCATGTTGAACTTTAACTTTAACCTTAACCAAATCTTAAAATCAATCCTGAATTTAACTGGTGAAGGGATGCCAGGATTGGCGTGATATGAGCCCTACGGTTTGTTTGTGTTAAAAAACAAGCAGCAGTATTTTGAACAAGCTGCAAACGAGTTACTACAGTTAGACTGAGGCATGTATACAGGGTGTTGCAATAATCCAGGCATCCAACAAAGGCATGTATAAGCTTTTCAGGTAGAGATAGTACGGATTTGATTTTAGAAATGTTTCATAGATGGAAGCAGCAAGTTTAATGATTTGTTTAACATGTGTTTTGAAGTTCAGATGAAATTCGAATCTGACACATAGATTTTTAGCCGTTGTTTTAATATTAGCTGCCAGGGGAGTAAGAAATGAAAGGGCTCTGCCTGCTAGCTGGTCGGTACTGAAGATTATTATTTCTGTAATGTTTGAATTGAACTGAAGGAAGTTAAGGGACATCCGTTCCTTAATGGCGGATAGGCACTCTGTCAGGACACTCACGTGGCTGACGTTGTCTGGCTTAAAGGACAAGCATATTTGGGTATCATCAGCATAGAACTGATATGATATCCCATTAAAGTGGCTGAGTTCCTAATGGGAGCATGCAGAGTGAGAATAGGATGTCCAAAAGCTTATTATTTCTAATGTATAATGCATAGAAAGAGCTGGTGGAAATTCATTAGAAAGTTGCTGAGTTGAGTCTGAGCTGTTACTTAAACACTCAGCTGATGTCTACACTTGTAAAAAATGCTGCCTTACTTGTCCATATGTGTTAATTAACAAACATCAAAAAACGTATTATTTTGTTGAATTTGAAGTAAAAAGAATAGGTTACAAACCCAGCAACACATACAGCAAAAACTGCATCAATACTGTCCATCTCTCTCTCTGTCTTTCTCTCCCACACACACTCACATATGTATTGCTATTTTCAAGGTAAGCCCCGAAAACATAGCGCTAGCAGTAGCAGCACTGTAGCCAGTGTGAACAACTGACAACAGCAAAACCCAGCAGAGCCACGGCGCAGCCAGTTGCCCGGGCGTAACTGCAAATCCTCTGCAGCCATTTAGGAATTTTGATTTATTCCATCCGCCCAGCAGATGTGCAGTTTTAAGCCAATGACATTTTGGACAGTGGAAATTACAAGATATAAGTTATTTGATGTAGCGTTTTGCCTAGGATGGAGTTGTAGCAGCAGAGGTAAAGCATTGAAGTCCTTAGAAGTCAGTTGACGCCCAAGAGATAACTAAGGTTTGAATGTTTTACAAGTAGAGGGCTGTCTAAACTTGGCACTTTGCAAAATGACTTATAATGAAGTGATTATGAAATAGTTGATAAAATATAAAGTGACCGTGCATTAACATTTAAAGAACCAATCATTATGTCTGATTGCTGCTGGGCTTGAAAATTCACTTAAATAATCAACAGAATGTGTGACATGTCCAGTGATGCCTGAGCTTTTGCCTAATCAGACGTTTCACTCAGCAGTGCTCATGTGTGTTGCCCACAGGGCTGGTTCAGTCCTGGTCAGGTGTTCGTCTTGGATGAGTACTGCGCCCGTTACGGTGTTCGAGGTTGCCATCGTCATTTATGTTACCTAAGCGATCTACTGGAGAGGGCGGAGAACGGAGCCATGATTGACCCCACCCTACTGCACTACAGCTTTGCCTTCTGCGCCTCCCACGTGCATGGAAACAGGTACAGCTGCCTTGTCTTGGCTCTTTTGCTTCCCCCACAGTTACACCCTGTCTGTGGGTGCTAGAATAAGAAAAACACAAAAATATATATTATTTTTTGGAAAGACTCGGAAATGACAGGTTAGTCATCATATATGGGAACATATATGGTGAAATATGTGACCCTCCAACCCCACCTCACTCAAATTTAAGTTGTTTCATTTTGCATGTCAATTGGCTTCCACTATGCATGTTTGCACACTCACTTTTCCTCTTTCTTTTATCTTTTTTCCTGGTTTTCTTTTAACCTTTTATCATTTTCACATCATGCCCTTCCTTCCACTCTGCCCAAAACCCTGCACCTTCACTAAACTAGTCAGCGTGTGTGTGAGTTGTTAAACTGGCCAGTATCTCAGGCCGAACTCAATCAGGCCCTTTTCCCATCTGTCCCTGAGCTTCCTGCTAAGAGAGAACTCAAAATCATTGAGTTCATGAAGAAAAAGGACTTCAGGTCCCCACCTTTCTCAGGAACTAGAAGGTAAGTTACCTCATAGACTGTGAAGTACATGAATATTAACCAAACGTGAAAAATTAAAACAAAGACAAACAAAGTTATAATCTACATGAACTTTTATTCACTGCGCTTCAAACTCTCTTCCTGCATGCCTGAGTCATCCTCACATCTTCACTGCCTCCTTTGACTGACTTATACACTTTGACATCATGACTTCTGGAGCACAGGCAAAATATAATTTCGAGGGTGGCTTGGTGAGAAAAAAGGTGAGTGACTACAAAATCACTGGCAAGAATGCAACAGACCTGGCACCTCAGAAGCTGAGGTAATGTTTAGATGTTGAGGCCATTAAAGAACAAATAGGCAGTTGTGTGACATTATTTATTAGCATTTTAGCATTAGCAAAGAGGACATTGCCTGTAGATGGAACTAATTGAAAAGTCAGTAGCCCAGCCAGTGATCCTTTCCTCAGTGAGTTGCCTAAAACACAAACAGATCTTGATTTTGAATAGGTCCACATCAGCTCAGTGGAATTGAATAGCCGCATGTTGTTTAAATGCACAGTAATGCAGATTAGTGTGTTTGGCGTTGAAAAAAGTCTGTTTAGCAGTACTGTGGCTACCAAGTTTGAAAAGAGGTTCCAAATATTTACTTTAGAATATACTGAAATGGTCATTTACAGCCTATAATAATAAACACTTACTACACAACACAACTACTGAGGTCAACAAATGGACAAAATGCAAAACCTTTTTGCCACAATCCTGACAAAACGGAACATTTAAAAGGGAAGATTTATTGCAGGGCTATTGAACAGGCTTCTGGTCCCTCCTAAAGGTTGGTGGTGACACAGGAGTCAATTGTCCTGTAGTCCAGTGGGTGCCATGTTATCTAAACTGCTAGATTTTCCTTTGGTCTAATCTGCAGTGATGTGCTCAGCCATCAATCTGTCAGAATAACAGTCGGTCGTCTGCATGTGAAACATAACAAAGACAGATGAGGGCCACTGCAGCACTGAGAGCAAGGGTCAGGGTGAATGTCTGTAATTCCCCCCTCTCCACTTTGGAGGGGGG